GCCAGCCACAATCTCATCCATATTGCTATAAAATATAGCATTCTGTGTAGAATTCAAATAGCTCCGATACATTTTGTGGTCTGCGCCGACTCGCGCATGTGATCCGCTCCGTGCTATCGTGTCTCTGGACCGGAGCAGAGTGTGTGTGCGGTGCGGTGGTTAGCGTGACACAGCGCCAAACCAGACTACTTTTTTTCCTCAATGGAAAGCATATTTACACTGTTTGAATCGTTCCCTGTCCCCTATATAGTGCACTACGTGCCATTCACTGTACAGAAAATACAAATTCTGTGGACAAGTGACCGATTTCAGCTGCGGCTTCAGCGTCTACTTTATAGTGTAGGGGGCGGGCACTTCGGATTCTAGAGAGCATTTGATTGGACAGAAAGTTTGATGAGAAGCAGAAGTACGATGTGACGTCAAAAAAATCGTTGAGCCGTTTTGGCGGAAGTGACGAACTGCGAGCTTTGAATGCTTATATCTCCTAAATGCAAATTTTGTCACTGTTTTGGAGCACACTGCCTTATAGATAACCTTAAGACTAACATATTGATACTAACACCCAAAAAACTTTAATTTTGATTTCATGGGGACTTTAACAAGGTCCACATTTACATTTTATCTGTTCTTGCTTTCAACATGTTTGAGCTGCAAGAAAGTTACGTCTTGAAGTTTAATAATTATTAGACTACTACTTTTACTTCTTTTAAGAAAGTTGAAAACGTCAAACTAATACAATGTAATCAAAATCTATGACCCACATTTTATTGACAGCATCCACTATAACTCACTGTCAGTTTGTGCAACTCGCCTCGGTTTTCTTTTTATTTAGTTTTATTGTTGTTTATTTTGTAACCGAAACGCTTTCTTTTTCCCCACTGGGACTTGTCATCATTCGGCGGACATTTTCGACAGCAGGCCTATATGAAAGAATGCCAAATATTTTCTTATTCCCCAAACGGGGCATTTAACAACTCCCGAAAAATATCACAAGCTGTTTGGGCTGCTGAGTCTGGCCAAAGGCAGGCAGCCAGGCTTTGTTTGACATCGTCTTCAGCACAGAGGAAAGACACAGTGCCTGATCTGAATCATATTAAACTCTCTCAGAAGCTTTGTGTTTTGCATCAGGGGCTTGAGGGGAACGGAGCAGACATCATGCACGTATTCAGTCAGACTGGTAGTTGAAAAAAAAGTTCCTATCGGCCTTCTATTTTGGTGTCGATCCGAAGATATCCATGTGCTCTGTTTACTGTGGCAGCTGAAAAGGGTCAAAAGAGCCAAAAGATCTCTGAATCTGGAAAATCATACTGGAATATTGCAGCCAAAAAATAAATAATCAAAACAAGGGTCTCTTTGTGCTCCTTTGCACAGTTTATAAGCACGTAAGACACTGCTTATACAATTTATACAAATGTGAAAAAATTTAAACTCATTGTGACTCGCGCTCATGTAAAACATTCTTAAGACAATGTGAGCAGTGCCTGCCCATGCAAGTGAGATGATATGCAATTAGTAGGGCGTTTTGTGTAGCTGTGCAGTTGCTAGGGCGTTGCTAGGTGGTTAGTCAAAACAGCAGTTTCTATGGAATTTTTAAATTTACCATCACAAGTTATTTAACAAGCCATGTGATTTGAGGTATAATGTCCATAGCACAAATTACCTGTCAAATTTTAAAATAATATTCAAGGTTCAATACCAGTTAAGCTCAATCTACAGCACTTGTGGCATAACGTTGATTACCACAAAAATTATGAATATTATTATTATTTTTCTTTAAGATTTGTGAGGCACTGACAAAAGAAGTGAATGGAGCCAGCTGGTAAGTGTTAAAATAGTCACTGCTTCAACAGAATAGCCACAATAAAACAATCTCTTATGAAAGGGGTCCTATTACGAAGTCTTGATTTGGTTTTTGGGGTGTACTAGGCTTTCATTCTTGTTTGTTCCAAAAACACATGTTTTCACATAT